GCCAGCTGAGCTCTCCTTGCCCCCCGAGCGGGCACGGGGAAGGCAGATGAAAGGATGGGGGGTTCATGGAGGAGCGTGAGCAGCAACAGGGCACAGCACCCACTTTCCACCTAGAGCTGGGCTAAGCAGAACCAACCATAAGTTTACACCAGCCAGCCTGTCCCTGGGGAGGTGGTGGCAGATTTCAGCCCCCGCTGGAAATAACATAAGCCCCAGGTGAAATTTCCAAGAGTTACAGAGAAATCAGCTCCCAAATGCAGGGAAGACTCCCAAGGACGCAGCACGCCCACCCCGTTCCCCCTCTCCCAGCTCCACGGCGTGTCTCACGCTGAGCTCTGGAAGGATACTGGGTGACGACGTTCATAAGGAGGTAGAACCACATGACTGGCAGGGTCAGCCCAATCACTGGGACCTGGAACGGCTCTGCGAGGAGAAAGGATGGAGCAAGGTCACTGTCCTGCTACTGCCTGAAGCTGATGCAAGGAGAGGGGTCTCTCTCCTGCCCAGGACTGACCACGCTCCAGGACAGGCTGCAGCTTCAGGAGGCCATAGCTGCGTTAGGCAGACCGAGGTGTGGGCACAGTTTGATTTTGCTCCACATGGAGAGTTATCTTGTCCTTACTGTGGTAAATGACAAATACAAGAGAGTTTGCCGAGATTTCTGTGTGGACTTCCGCAGGGAAGAATGGAAGAAGTAGGCCAAGGACAAAAAGACTTTAAAAGGTCTGTCTGGCTTTCTTGTGTCAGGGCTGCCCTACTGTTAAAACTGGATGAACCAATGAGGTTCTGAGGGGCTGACGGCGCTACACGGGAAAGCTGTGCAGCACCAGCAAAACACAAGCCAAGGGGTCCGTGTTTACACCTGTGGTCAAGGATTTGGTCCTGTTATTCCCATTTTTGAACCACCACATTCCTTTCCCCAGGGGTCACCTATCTCACGTTTTTCTTGAGAGGGTGTAGCCCGCTAGATATACTTCACAGTGGTATTAAGAGATTAAAGTGATCCCTGCATGCAAATATCCCCTGTACCCAGAAGGAATTAAAGCACCTCAGAGCCCCTTCCAGTGCCTGGGGGGCTACAAGAAAGCTGGGAGGGGGGCTTTTCCCAAGGGCAGGGAGTGACAGGACAAGGGGTGATGGGTTTAAGCTGAAAGAGGGAGATGGAGGTGGGACATCAGGAAGGAATTCTTCCCGCAGAGGGTGGGAGCACTGGGACAGGTTCCCAGAGAAGCTGGGGATGCCCCATCCCTGGGAGTGTCCAAGGCCAGGCTGGATGAGGCTTGGAGCAACCTGGTCTAGTGGAAGGTGTCCCTGCCCATGGCAGGGGGTGGGCCTGGGGGGGCTTTAAGCTCCCATCAACCCAAACCATTCTGTGATTCTATGATATGATCCTATGAACCAGCAAACCTACTCAGCAAAGGTCCCTCCAGTTTCACAAAACTGGGGTCAGAATTTAGGCAGCTCTCTGGCACTGAGAAGCTGGTGAATTTTACTATTAAACTTAAGCAGATGTACAGCTCAAGGTGGATGGATCAGGCTGGGCCCAACGGGTCTACGTGTGTGCATCAGCGAGAAGCCTGGGCTTTAGCACAGTGAGCCACAGAGTAACCCACGGCTGAGCTTTGCAAGCGGCTGTGGCACCAGCTGAACGGTCAGCTGCCCACGGCCAGGCTCTTGGCAAACACCACCTCCCCAGGCATGCCTGGATGCCCTGGACTCCCGTGGGAGTCCGTGCCCACCGTGGGGAAGAGGTCAGACAATGCCCCCAAGACAGCGTAGGAGGCTTTGGGGGGGCGCTTTCAGCTTTCTATCAAACCTGAAAATTTACAGGGTGCGAATATCCCAAGACGACAGTCTGATGTGCACAACTGCTGGACTGAAAGCTTCCCCCAGCATTTTCCAGAGGACAGAAAGGTGGAAGAGCAAGGATCCGTCCGTGCTACACTCACCGGACTGGCTGAAGAGGACTGCATGGTGGTAGATGTTTGGGGCAAGGAGGAGAAAGCCGGGGAGTGGTAACGCATGCTGCGGAGGAAAGCAGAGACATGATGTTAAGAGATTATGCAAACCCATCCCACTTCTCATCCTGGGAAACCAGGCTCACACACCTGGATGAGAGCACACTCTTCAGTGCTCCAGCCTTGCGACCCTTTGGATCTGTGCTGAGTGCAGGGTGGGAGGGGAAGGGACTCTCTTAGCTGCTCTATCTGACCCAGAAAAGGCATGGTGACTTACATTGTAAAAAAGGGCCTCCTTGGAGTGTTTCCCAAACTGCTTGTACAGCATCTCCTGGAAAATCCCCATCCTGGCAGACATGAGGAGGGCAAAGGTGAGGGCAGCGATACCTGGAACAGAAGCACAGCCTTGCAACACTGCTCAGGGATGGCACTGCTCAAGTCCACCAGCTTGAGGACTCCCACAGTTTCGCTTTCAGTGAAAAAAAGCCAAAGCATGCAGACTTGAAAAGAAAACTGATAACGGCCTTGGGGACATGAGTGTCTTATTCCAAAGGCTGAGATGCCACGGGACTTTTGAAAAGATCATCTCTTAAAATAAGGGACTCGGCCCTGGCAAGAAGAGTTGGTGGGATACCAGGGATACAGCCATTTGCCACTACTGACAGTACATCAATCCCAGGTTCCCTGAAAAGCCACCAATAAATGTAGGTTGGAGGTACCAAAATACCCAAGTGCCAGACTTAGAGACCTCTCTGCAGCGCAGCTCACAGCAACAGGTACGTCAGGCAGGGCTGCTTTTGCAGAGGAATCAAGAAGGAACACACAGACGTGCACAACGTCATTCTGTCACTAAGCCACTCCCTTGCAGAGCGCCCCGAGGCGCCGTGTTTCACTTGCTGGCCAAACACAGACGATCTCCTCACACAGAGCTGCCGACGAGCGCCACAAAACCCCGTTCTTTGCAAATCAACACCCCACCAGACGCTCGGCACAACTCAACCTCAGCTCAGGGACTCCCGCCGCAATCTACTTCGCACAACCCGCCCGGCCACGGACGTCAGAGAGACGAGTCTTGCCAGTGTCCCAGCGAGGTCATGGCACTCACATACCTAGCAGCCACCACAAGAAAACCTGAAGTCCGTCCTCTTCATTTAAGCTGGAGTCAGTTGCCTGGTAAAAGGAGACACAAGACAGTCACCATGAGCTACCATGTCCCTGCAGCTCACTTGGGCCTGCCTCTACCTCACTTGTGGTGCCTGTGCTGTGCTCCAAGCCCCTAAAACAAAGGCCACCCAACATCTCACATTCTTCATAGTCACTTCCCTGGCTGAATGGAGGTGGTAGAAACTACAGCATGCTTTGCTTTCCACTCTGCTTCAGAGAACACACCAGCTAAAAAGTGTAAACGTCTGCTTAAGAATGTAGCTTTTCGGAAAGAAATGCCCTGTCTTGGCCAGAGACTCAGCTCTTCAACCCCCAAAATAATCAGTGCCCCTTAGACAGCTCCACAGACAGCCCACGGGCAGGCTCCTCTGTCCCCATCTGAGGTGAGTAAGCAGGAAAGAACAAGAACCAAGCCCCAGTCATGTATAAAACCAGGGCTCCGGGTTGCGGTCAAGATACTGCGGAAACCAGGCCTGTAGATGCTGTTAGCCCAGGGTAAAACTCTAGGTAGCATGACTTGGCTCAACTCTCTTTCACTGTGATTTTGGGCAAATTGGATTACTCACCTTTGCCACAACTCTCCGTACCATACGAAACCTTCAGTACCTGAAGGAGCTACAAGGAAGCTGTGGGGGACTTTTTACAAGGGCCTGTAGTGACAGGACAAGGGGTAATGGGTTTAAGCTGAAAGGGTGAGATTGAGATGGGACATCAGGAAGGAATTCTTCCTGGAGAGGGTGGGGAGCACTGGGACAGGTTGCCCAGAGAAGCTGTGGATGCCCCATCCCTGGGAGTGTCCAAGGCCAGGCTGGATGAGGCTTGGAGCAATCTGGACTACGGAACGTGTCCCTGCCCATGGTAGGGGGGATGGAACTGGATGATCTTTAAGGTCCCTTCCAACCCAAACCGTTCTGTGATTCTGTGAAAACCCCATGCCTGCTGAGAGTTTATCTGGATTAATAACAGAGCAAGGCTGCAGAGCACAGACCCTCCTCGGACAGCCTAAGAGTACTAATAGCTATTAACTGATGGGAGACTTGGAGGTTTGACAGCCCTGTTTCATTTCCAATCTCTCCGAGCTGGATTAAGTGCAACCAATTTGCACTTGACCACCACTTCACGCCATTTTTCTGTCTCCAGTTGACAAGATTAGGCGGTGGGTGCTGACCCAGGAAACGCCCAAAGTGGTGTTACACATCGGTTTTCATCCCTCCCTCCTGTTCTCCACATACATGCACTTCATTTCAAGGGTCACAGAAAGTCATGCTGGATGACAACAGGTCTGGAAAAATCTAGCCTGAAAACAGACAATTTCTTCTGGGATAAAAAGAGCGAAGACTTAAGACGGCCGAGTTTTGTTTAAGATTCTCCTGCTGCTAACTGCAGCACATCACAGTAAGGGTGAAAGAAAACAGCTTCTGGCTGTTACTCAGTGGCAAAAAAGTGGTTTATTCTCAGCAAAAGGCAACCTGAACACCACAGGATAACAGGCACCTGAAATGAAGTTAAATTACATGCATGTGTGTGCATCCCTTCTCTCCAACCCAAAGGAAAATGAGATCATAGAATCATAGAATCATAGAATGGTTTGGGTTGGAAGGGACCTTAAAGATCATCTAGTTCCAACCCTGCTGCCATGGGCAGGGACACCTTCCATAGACCAGGTTGCTCAAAGCCACATCCAGCCTGGCCTTGAAGACATCCAGGGATGGGGCATCCACAACATCTCTGGGCAACCTGTTCCAGTGCCTCACCACCTGCTCTGTGAAGAATTTCTTACTCACAGGAACAAGAGCTTTTGGGGAGCAGATCTAGAGCTGAGAGATGTCTCTCCGTGAATAGTCAGGCAAAGGGAATTACTGACGAAGGTGCTGACAGCAGCTCCTCCTGTCAGTAAGGTTCACAGCTATGACCTCAGGTCCTTGCCAATCCTTACCACTTGCTTCGCAGACATGAAAGTGCAGGTGAAGATCCCCAGGGACACCAGGGCTATGGACGTGTATTTACACACGCTGTATCTGCACAAGGGAGAAGACAGATGTCAGTGATGCAGCCCAGCCTCCCCCTGTTCACCTACTGCTCTCTTGCATTGCACTGTGCTCCGTTACACTGACGTGAACTGGGGTAACGGGCACATACCCATTACTTAACGTTGGACATCGCTGGCCGAGGCCAACTTACTCCAACTGCAACAAAAAAGATGCATTTGGACCAAGATTTCCTTGCCCGTGGCAAAGGGTCCCTCTTGGATCAGAGCCAGCGCTGATCTCTGCATCGCAATGGGGTGGCAGGGGATGCGCCCACGCTGGTCACACAGCCAGAGCCCGAGCGGCTGGGAGGACCCTCCTGTCCTGGTGTCTTTGGCCACTGTGGTGGGTTGACCCCAGCCAACAGCCAAAGCACCCACAGAGCCGCTCACTCATTGCCCCAATCTCGTGGGTTGGGGGAGAGAACTTGAAGAGCAAGAACGAGAAGACTCGTGGGTCGAGCTAAAGAACTTAACAGGTGAGGGGTGGGGGCAAACCCAACAAAAACAATGCAAGAGCAATCGCTCACCACCTCCCATAAGCATGGAGGACAACTCCCCCCAACCCCCTTCTTCCTCAACCTGGTTTCTATTGCAGCTCACAGGAGCAGTACCGGCTCCACAGAGGTAAGAGGAAAGAAAAGAGGTAACATAGAAGGCTGCAGTCGTGTAAAATCTCTCATTTCAGTCCATGCTTGCCTTAAATGAAGGAGTGAGGGGTAATGGAAATGCAGCAGAGGGAACTATTCCACCCTCCAGTCCAGGCACACCTCTGTGTCCCAGTTTCCCAACAGTAAAACAACAGGAAAGGGGAGGCACTGAGCACCAGTCAGGATAAAGTCAATGGCAGAGCATCCCCTGATGATATAAGAAAGAGGCTTGTGATTTACCTTTTCTTCAAAATGATGATACCTAGAGCCATGCTTGCTATGAGAGAACCCTGGGAAAGGAGAGAGAGAGGAGAAAAGCAAAAGAGAAGGTTAGCACGACAAAATTCTCCAGACGGGGACACCCGCCCCGGAGAAACACCGCAAACTCAGTACAACTAATGTCAAAACACCAACAGAAATGCCAGAAGAGGATCAGGGAGACTGACAGGGTGGGGACAAGAGGAAACAGCCTGAAGTTGTGCCAGGGGAGATTGGATGTTAGGAAAAATTCTTCCCAGAAAGGGCCGTCAGGCGTTGGAAGGGGCTGCCCAGGGCGGTGGTGGGGTCACCATCCCGGGAGGGATTTAAGAGACGTGTGGAGGAGGTGCTCAGGGACATGGGTTAGTGGTGGCCTTGGCCCTGCTGGGGGAACGGTTGGACTCGATGATCTTAAAGATCTTCTCCAACTTCTATGAGTCTCACTTCAGCTAGGAGGAGGGGAGAAGTTGATCTGGGTGATTTGGGAACAGGGATGCTGGGGCAAACAGGCTACTGGGATCTTCTGGGCAGTAGGCCTCCCGCTTTTTTGTCCCACCTGTGACACTCAGTGTGTGCTACAGACCAGAATGTGGCCGAATCAGTATGGTTTTTTTAATTCAGGAGAGGAGTACGACTCTGCAGATGGACTGCAGGGCTGCTACACAGGAACCATCCCTCCTGGTTACTGCAGGACAGGTCTCCTAGTGTTGTCTGGTTTTCTTCTTTTTAACCTCTCCTGACTTCAGGTATCTCAACCCCATGACATGTGGTGGGAGAACAGCCCCACCCAGCAGATTTTGTTATTCCCAACAGCTGGGGCTCTGTTTTCTTTGTTTTTAACAGATGTTTTAGCCTGACACTCCTCTAAACTGAAGTAAAGATGCATTTTAATGGCACCTTCCAAAGCAGAGGCCTGTACAGGAAAAGTCCAGGTGGAATTAGGCCAAATCCGTCCTCTCTGACTGGGGCATTGAACCAAGAGAGCTACACCAGGATACAAACCACTTGGTTTAGCTGGTGGTGGAAGGGAAAGCCAGGTCCCTGTGACCACCAATTCAGCCCATCCAGGGCTGATAACCAGAGTCTGGGCTTGGTTTTGTCATTGTTACTTTGGAAATATGAGGCCTGTTTGAGCCTGTTTCCTCTTCTGTCCATGAAGCTGAAATTTAATGATCGGGATGGTGAAAGTGAGAGCTGGAGCTGAGCCTTCAGAGCAAGGCTGCTCTTCCCACGGGTTAGCTGGAGTTTATTTGCACAGGGTTTTGGTGTCCGCAGGGAAAGGGAGGGTGGGAGAACATGTGCCCCAGGGACGGTGCTTGGAGAGATGATGGGAAGAGATGTCACAAGAGGAGGGAAAGGATGGCATGGCAGTACTCACTGATCTGAAGATCATGTGCAGCGGCATGGCGATATTTAAGTTCAGGGCGTAGTTATTCACCACACTGACAGTGAAGAACATGGCCACCATGATGAAATAGTACCTGAAACACACACAAAACCCCAGCTGACGGCTGTGCATGCACCTCCCTGCGATGCTGAGACGCACCTGGGGAACAGAGTAAGTGGCACAAAGCAAGCTCTGGAGCCAACCAGGAGCCCACCCGGCTCTTGGGTCTCTGACAAGGACTATCAAGGAGAACGATCCAGTTTGGATGCAGCAGACAAGTCCTTAGAATGGGAAGCGGGCTGACATGCACTGGCTCAGCTTGTGCTAATCCCAGAAGCAGAGGGGAACTGAGGATAGCCCAGCTGGGATTTTTTAATGCATGGAAACCCCTCTTTCCTAAGGTCTGTGGCCTAAGATAAGGTTTGATTTGAGGGGATTCAGTTTTTGCCAGCAGGCATCGCTACCCCGAGTGGAAGGAGAAACTATTCAAATCCAGGCTGAACACCTCCCCGGTCCTACACCTAAGGTAGAGAACCTCCAGGAAATGAAGTTCCTCACTGTGACACAGCCATGAACAGCACTAAGCATGCCCTGAACTTTCTGTCCCGAGCCCTCAGCACAGTGCGCCATGTTTCCACAAGCTAGGCAGTCTGCTCAGGAAGCCCACAGAACCTCCTCACTTCAGCCACTGAGTGCCAGGGAGGAGAGCATGAACACGCCAGGCCATTGCCAGGGCAAGATCAGCCCCGATGGAGAAATGCAAAAGCGGATTTGGCCGGGTTTCCAGTAAACCTCTTCCTCCCACGCCCACTGCACGAAGCCCCAGAGACAGCAAGCTCTTCAAACACGGCAGACTCTTAACTGTGCAAAATACTGCCCTGTTTCTTGGACAGAAGGGTATCTGATGGCAATTTCCTATTAAGACTTCTCGACAAACGAGAAGTTCATATTTTATCAGGCATGACAGGTTCTCAATGAGGCTTCACAAATGCTGCAGAATGGATGGGATTTAGACAGGATAAACGGATAAGCCATTTTATTAAACACTTCTTGAGATAATAGACAGCCAGTCAATTTATGCCTAGCAAAAGCGTTCAGATCAACTGTACCTCATTGGTATGGCCGGCCTCTTCCTCCCAAAGTTGGCTTCGAAGATAAAGCCTTCCACCGCGATAAAAAGGAACTGGGAGAATGTCACTATGTTCCCACATCCTGGAAATTGCCTGCAGACATGGAGAAGAAAGACAAACTTAAGAGCAACACCATGGAGAACAAACACTGCACTGGGCTCCAGTAAAAAGAGGCTAACAGCTCACAACCCCAGAATGGGTATCAACCCAGAGAGGCTTTACTGGTTTGTCTGTCCAGGCTCTCGCTTGCCTTTGTTGAACACTTCCCGGCAGGAATTTATTCACCTGAACTTGCAGATACATGTGTAGCAATCCCTTCCCCAAACATTTCCCAAGAGGAAGAGAGCAGCCATTCCCACCATGGGGCACATGGTGAATTGGGTCAGTAAGTGAAAGAGGAAATTGGTTGCATCTCAACAGTCTGTATAACATCCCAACAGGGTACAGGATCTGAATCACAGAACAGTTGGGTTGGAAGGGACCTTACAGACCATCAAGTTCCAACCCCCCCTGCCATGGGCAGGGACACCTTCCATAGCCCAGGTTGCTCCAAGCCTCATCCAGCCTGGCCTTGGACACTCCCAGGGATGGGGCATCCACAGCTCCTCTGGGCAACCTGTCCCAGTGCCTCACCACCCTCTCTGGGAAGAATTTCTTCCTTCTATCTTATCTAAATCTACCCACTTTCAGTTTAAAGCCACTGCCTCTTGTCCTGTCACTACAGGTCTTTGTAAAACCAAAAGGTTGGTTGTAGTTTCAAGAAGAAGCCAACAACTGCTCATCATGGAGCCCGAGAAGGTCATGGCATTAAATGCCAGGTGACAGGCAAGTCAGGGAGCTTGCCAATGTGACACGTGCTTTGCACTGAAGTTTTCAGACTTCACAAGGTATCAAAAGCCCCAAAACAGTGTCTGAACTCAAAAAAGAGACCCTCCTAGCTGAGCATGCATCCTCCCAGAGACCGAGGCATGGCAGTTATCACCTCTGTTAGTGGAGCTGAACAAAATTTTTGAGCCCTATTGAGCAGATCAACCTTGTGTGTGTGTTTTTTCTGAGGGAAGACGAATTACATGCAAGGGCAAGGCAGCCCGTAACAGCCTGACATTAAACAAACACTCCCTTGCACGCTGCTCACCCACTCCTAGCAGACATGCCTGCTGCAGCCTCTGCCTCCTCCCTAAGAAGCTTACGGGGAGCAGGAGAGGATTTCCTGGGAGGCACACAGTCAGCAGTGGGCTCAGAGGCGGCCGTGACATGTCAGATAATC